ATGTCTTCAAAGAAAAACCCAAAAGTCCAGTTGCCTCTTGTAAAAGCACCTTTGTGACAATCATGACCTTGGATGACTGAGAATCTCCATAGATACTCACAGTCTTCTTGTTTCCAGCCTGGTGCCTTAACTTCTCTCTAAGCAAGACCTGGTCATATGTGACCCTTTGGTCCTCTGTGTTTGGCTCACGTGAGCCAAATTAGAAATCAAATACAAATAATTCCAGACCAGGGACAGGAGCAGAAGATGAATTAGGTCCACCTTTACACAGTTGCTTGTATACTACTTCAGTCACCAGCAGCCGCAGGAAGGCAATGAGAAAAGGTGTTTTTCTGCACCTGTGCAGTGCTCACCCCTCTCCTGGAGCAGCTTGAGAAGTTGAGGTCACAGAGTTTGAGGTCATCAAATCAGGTTACATTGGTTCAGCCTTCCGCAAGAATTCCAGTTTTTCATGTGGCCCCCTAAGAAAAGTAATTACTCACCCCTGCTCTAAGCTGGGTAGATTCAAGTTTTCTACACTGAAATCCATCACACTTTCCTGTTAACTCTTGCCAGGCATAGTGAACAAAAATTGCTTCCTTATCCACATCAAACTCTTCCACAATTATTTTTGTTGATGTAGTTATATACTTTGCCTATTGTACTGATATATGGGCAGCAGATCTTTGGTTTAAAGGCTTGAACTTCACATAGAGTGAAACCTCAGGCAAGTATATATTAAAAATATTTCTACAGTTCATTGACAATTTGCTGACCAAGATGGAAATAAATTGAATTAATACAGCTGGAAGCCTTTCTTCTAAAAACACTGGTTGGCCAACTGGCTGCCTCTGAAGAATTTTCACAGCAGAAACACAAATGTCCCTGTTTTTTCAATCCTGATCCATCAGCTGTGCCAACAATAGCTTCTCCTTAAATGTTAATTTAGAATTAATCACCCTGTTATCTCTGCGAATTAATCTGCAGAGTCATTCAGTTGTTGCTACTGAATGCCAGGTCACACTATAATGCTTCTCTCTGTAATTTCATCATGGATGAAGGCTGACTTGGCATGTATTACTGGGTTCAGAAGAGGATGTTCTCCTCTTATAAATGTATCCAGCTGGGTTTCAAGTGTGGCATCAATCAAGATTCCAGATTTGCAGTAGGGTTAACCATCTGGGAATCTCTAATGGTTCTCAAGACAGATTGTCCCACAGGTCACCAGATGTGAGACACAGTTTATTAAGCTGGATTCTAGGGAATCAGTTGAAATTGGTGCTAGTAGCCTCCCTGCTGCATATAGTGACTTCTCTGACTGAGCTCCTTGACTCATCTTCTGGATTGCTCATAGAGTTTCTCGGGCTTATGGTTCTAGCAGACTTCAGTCTGACTAAGACTACTCAGGAGTTCATGACCACTATGGACCTGTCCTAGATCATCTAGGGCCTGACTCATGACAATGGTCACACACCTAATCTGGTTCAAGTGATAGTAAGATAATTGGGGCAGCTTTCTGTGCTTTGCTGACATGGTCAGACTACTGTCTGGTAACCATGAGATTGTCTTTCACTGCATCACATTACAGAGAGGTGGGACCTTTTCAATTGCTCCACCCTGATCAACTGATGGACACAGCTGGGTTCCAAGGGAAGTGGAGATTGTTCCTGAGGGTCTGCTATATGATACAGTCAAGGTTAGTTGATACCCACTCTGGAATGGGAAGGGAGATGGGGCTTTGGATTAGTTCATGCCAGTGCAGCTTTTCCTTTCCCGTGGATCTCACAATTCCCAGAAAATGAGGAAAATGAAAAGAGTTATAAGACACTTAGAACAATGCTGGCAGTCAACAAGGAGTGAACTTGACTAAACAAGGTTAGAAGTGCTATTAAGGTCTACTTTGTGATGGTAAGGATGGCAAAATGTCAATATCTCTTCATTATTTCAGTTGGATAGAGAGAACTCTGAGATTCATCTATAGGTTCACACAGAAGAAAATGCAGGCCATTTGTTGGATGAAATCACTTGGATTCACTCTCAGTTGGACACCAGCCTTGATGCAGGTCCTATAGAAATTCATGGAGCATTGCCTTGTTCGTTCTCTGGGAGGATTGTTGGGCCTGCTAAAATGGACCGGTCTTCATGACTGTGTGCTTAGCCATCTGTTTATGGTGTTTAGATCCATGTCCCTCCTGGTTGTTAAAGGCCTCCCAGGAGATGACATTTGGTTGGATTCTGGCAATATCAAATTCTTCGAGGAGAAGGGGTTGTTCCTCTTCCTCTCAAGGAAGCAGTGGTTCACATACCCCTCCAGAAGCCTTCACTGACTCCAGCTGTACTTGATAACTTTGATCCAATATCCAACCTTCCCTTTTGAGGGAAGGTTGTTGAGAAGGTGGTCATGCAACAGCTTCAAAGGATCATGGATGAAGCAAATTATTTGAACCCCTTTCAATCAGGTTTCAGACCTGCACCCATATACTGCCCATACACATGAGATTACATTAATCTAAATGTTGCTGGCCCTCAGGAAGTCTCTTAAGACTTGGAGATCCAGTGATGGCGTCAAGCCTGCGGTCGGTTGCACTGTTCGCAATTTATTGTTTTAATTAACTGCTTTAATTGGTTTAAATGGGATTTACCTTGCTTTATTCCTAATTGTTTTAATTATGTAAGCCACCCAAAGCCACTTAGGTAAGATGGGAGGTGGTATAAATAACCAACTAAATAAATCAGGTTTACTGATAAACTGTTCTTGCTATGATAGAAAAAGAGTGTCCAAATAAAATATTATTGTTATCCTTTTCTCTTGTAGCATTTGTCTGAATGCTTGATTTTTTTTTCAAATTATCCTTTATAGTTGGTAACCATCCTCCACTTCAGGTTTTTCCATTAATTTGCATTAAAAAAGGAAGTTATGCTGGAGAAGCGAAGTAGCCTTTTCTAACTTAGCCCTCTTTAGATGTGCTGAGATTTCATTTCCCAGAATTATTAGGCTTCAAGGGAGGCCAAGTTGGTATATATTGGCTCTTTTTCTATCCTGCCCTTAATAGAAGGCAGAACAAGAAGCATTTTAGACACTTTACAAGCCTGATATTGTTTCTGCTTTTCCTTAAGTATTAAGTGAGAACCATTAATATCTCACCAGTATTATTTGCGCACCACAGGGAATTTATAAGGCATAGCAGCTGGTGATTAACTATTACAGCAAGCTTGCTTTTCAATGGCTTTTAGCCAGTTAAATGTTGGCAACCACTTGAAAGTAATCTATCATAAATAGGAAGCATGTCCCCAGGCTCATAATTAATATTTGCAAGACACTAGAGATTCCAAAAAAGTAAAAGAGACTGAGATTTTTACTGATTTTCCCCCAATTTTGTAGTGCTGGGGCTTTCAGAAATGTGTTGTGTTTCTAGAATGTCACGCAAATTGGGACTGAACAAGGCAGAGCCAAGCTATTTGCATTTTCAACAACTGGCAGGAAAATGGTACAGTATGTTACCCACAAATGGAGAATAGCAAGAGAAGTAGCCTTAAATGACTGTGGTCCATGTTTCTATTCTGTTCCAGAAAAACATCACACATGCAGACCATATCACACATGCAGGTTTTGGGTGCTTTTGGTAAACAGCCACTAAAAAGCTTGTTAACATTTTAAATGTTTGAGTTTAATTATAAATATAAAATTCATTCTCATGGAAGCCTTTAGGTTAAGCTTTCTGGTAGCCAACGCTTGGTTTCCCAGATTCAGTGGTCCTTGCATCTGAACTTAACTCATTCCATGATTCTATCCCTGCTTTAGTTGAAAAGAGGAAAGGTCTATTCAACATTCCCCTAACATCAGGGGTGTTAATTCGAAGCCTGTGGGCCAGATTCAACCCATGGGGTACTTAGATCTGGACCGCGGAGCCACCCTGGACATAGCAAAGGACCGGCCCGCAATGCCTCTGCCAGCGAAAACAGAGCTTGGGAGGGCCATATGCAGCCCCCCCTAAGTGCCATTTTTAGTGGCAGAAGGTTGCAGGAGGCCGTCACAGCCAAAAATGGAGCTTAGGAGTCCATTTTTGCTGGCAGAGTGCTCGGGCCATCACAGGGGCTCCCAACACAAGTGACGTGCCCACTCTGGGCATGCCCACCCCAGTCCTCCAAGGTCAAACACAACCCTGATGCAGCCCTCAATGAAATCGAGGTTGACATCCCTACCTAACATGATCCTGTATCAAAGTATTTGGCTTCTTGTGGCAAGGTAACAAAGGATATGCCAAGCCTTCCTTTGTCTTCATTTACCCAAATACCAAGACTCAATATTCATTATGCAGGTACTCCCTCTTGTAACCATTTATTTAGTTACATCACTGGGGGCGGGGGAAGGGACTTATGACTTTTTCACACTTAGATTATTGCAGCATCCCCATAGTCTTGTGATCAAAATTTGGATGCTTGGCAACTAGCATGTATTTATGACAGTTGCAGTGTCCCAGGGTCACCTTTTTGTGACCTTCTGGCAGGCAAAGTAAATGGAGAAGCCAGATTCACTTAATAACTGTGATACTAACTTGACAACTGTAGTGACCTGTCTAGCAACTGTGGCAAGAGTTGTGAAATGGAGCAAAATTTACTTATTAACCTAGTTAGCAATGGAAATTTCAGGCTCAACTGTGATCCTAAGTCAAGGACTACCTATACTGTACTGTTGTTGCATGTTTTATTATGTACAGATATTAGAATATTTATGCTGAAAGAATCAACTGCATAATTAACATGGTTGTCTTCATAAAAAACAATCCTGCTATTGTTTCTGTTCTGAATCAGCATGAACAGAGTACTTACTGTTAGGGTAATGTCCTGTGGTTGGACAGCAGGGAAGAAACCCCAGGTATTTGGGCTGCTGAACAAAAAATGACTGCTCAAACCACAGCTTTTGCACTCAACTTGAGAGGACGAAGACTTGCTGTGCTTTTTCAAGGCTGTGATTGTGTGTGCCTCTTTATGCTGAATTTGTGTTTCTCCAATTTCTTCAGGCGACCCAGTATATGAGTTTGATTTCAAAGGAAATGCAACCCGTAGCTGGCACAGAAGGTGCTTATTACCGTCGTAGAAGGTTGATGAGGCAACTTCCTCTTTATGATCAGGACCCTTCCCAATGTCGGGGCCTTTCGGAGAATGAAATCAAGCTGATGGAGGAGTTTATAAAACAATATAAAGACAATGCTCTTGGAGTCGGAGAAGTTGCACTGCTGGGTCAAGGGGGAGCTACCAAAGAGGAAGGAAAGCAATCTGATAAAAACACTCCAGCAAGTAAGGAAGCCGCTTCAACCAATGGCACGTTGGGCCATCCATCAAAAGGGCAGGACTTGGTAAGTCCTCGGCACAGTGTTGCAGAGTGGAAAATGCATTAATAATAATAATAATAATAATAATAATAATAATAATAATAATAATA